GCGACTGTACACTACGAAGCGGTTTATAACCGGACGTTTCGCAACTACCAGCTTCCTCAGATGACCCGATAGGTCCATATGAAAGAAAAATCATCTCAATCACCTCCGGTCGGGCTCGCGGCATTTTGCAGCAACCATGCAGAAAAGCATCTCTGCCATACTGTACCTCTCACAGCGAATCATCAACATGAGGCTGCATTGGCTGATGTTATATGTGTGAGCGACGAACAGATTCAGCATGCTGTTGCTTTTGCGCCCATGCAAGCCGGTGTGTCCCCATTGCACTGCCTTAAAACCTTTGCTCAAGCTTCTTGATAAGGATCCTCAACAGCTCGGTCCAAACAATGCAGCTGAAAACCTTGCTCAGTCAAAAACTGCATGTCCTCTGAGCTGAGTCTCCATTCATCCCGAATATGATATGAGCCCAAGACAAATCTGTCCCCTGACCAAGGCAGAGCAGCATGGCGTAGTCGAGAGTTGAATCGTAAGCATGGCATGACAATTGAACGAATGCAGCCTTTGGGCCCACCAACGGTAAGCTGCACATCTCCATCTAGACATTCATGCCATAGCTCACCTCCCTGCCATGCACTCAGTGGTATCAGAGTGTTGTCAATCATGGGATGATTGTGCGAATCCACATGAACCTCACTGGCAACGTTAAGGTGCAAAAACACACTGCTGAAAAGGGTTTCCGGACTCAATGTGCGAACAATTGCGCAGAGCAAGCGCGTTGTCCATACAAGCGTCTTGGTGCGCGTGTGCACTGAAGCAATCCCTCCATGAATGCACGCTCCAAGTGTTATGGAGCGCGGCTGCACATCCATTCCAAACAAGGAAGTGACATGCCTTTCATGAGTTCGCGTGGGCAGGGCATCAAACAATCTGCGCACCTGATTGAAGTAAACCCACTTGCCTCGCAAACATCCTTGCGCCAGTGCCTCTGCCGAATTGTCCGGCTCCGGAGATTGCCAGTCCCAGTCTTGTGTGACTTCTAGAGGAAAACCAGCATGATCCTGACCCGCATATAGGCTAAGCGCAGCCTCTGCGGCAAGCATATGTAACCGCGTGCTAGCCGGCCAACTCTGCGCGTTCTGAGCAGGGCGGAGAAAATGCACAAAGTTTCTGCTGGTGACCTGGCTCTGAGGGTCACGCTTAGCTCGCTTGGCTGGTCCAGGCATTGCAGAGTCCGAGTGGTACTCCCGGGAAGCCTCACCCCCTAAGCTGGCCTCGTGACCTTCGTGCTCTGGCACTGTGAGGTCGATCATAATCCTCTCATCTGAAGTCGGCCGCAAAGATTGCGCCCACATGATTACGCTTAATGCGTCACAGGCTGGGTGCTATGGCATCGACGAACAGAAACCCCTGGATGTAAGTGAAGAAAGCAGCGACATCTCAAAATCCATTGCTCAATGCGTGCGGGGCAGCAGCAACAACATGTGCATGGACAGCATGCTGTTCTCCAGTAACCTGTGTACCCTCACTGCAGGCGCACTTGTAAACTGGCTGAGGAGCACGAGCAGGAAAAAGTCCATGTTGCTGGAGTTTCTGCACCTTAGAGTTGCGGGGATACATTTGCTCGCCCATAGACGTCATGTCACATGTGTTGTTTTGCACCGATAGCAGCAAGATCCACAGTGTCTGTTGCACTGCTCTGCTGGTGGAACCCGTGCTTGCCCCAAAAGCATACGTTGCTGTTAGCATCCAGACATAGAAATCCTGTCCGGACCGCCCCGATAGGGCCTCTTAGCCGTCGAAGAGAGCAGAAAAACTTCTTCCAAGTCCACTCTCTCAAATAGATATGGCAAATCACTGCGGTGCCAAAGAGCGAAGAACCTTCACTCCTTGCTTCACAGCATTGCAAATTGCATGGAGTCACTCTCAGCATCACTTGCCGCCAGGACTTTGCATGGTCTTCTGAACCAAATTAGCAACATTCGAGCGTCCTGGGCGTTCCGGCCTCCAAGCCATAGCCATCAGCTGGGTGATCGATGAGCCCGTCAAGGTCGCCATGTGTTGACGAAGCTGATGAGCCTCCTCTCCATACAAAGCAAGCTGCATGCTGAACGTGACGTTGGAGCCACGCATCTCCTCTTCCACCGTTCTGCTGGGATGAAACCTTGTAACAGGACCCGTCTTCTGCACCAGCACGAGGATTGATTCAACAACCGCCACACCTTGCTCAAAGGAAATCCCTTCGCGCTTGGTGTCCTGCTTGAGGCGCTCAGCTTTGGGGTCCCATTTCAAGTAGTTCCACTTCATGGGAGCATCCGAGATCCACCCAAGCTTCTTCATACTGTCCTGGGTACGCTCCTGCTTGCCAAAGTTTTGGAGCCGCGCCGAGAATTCCCGAAAAACACACGTAAGCAAGTTTACTCGCATTGGCTTGTCCAAGGATTCAGGATCTGTCTCCTTTTGCTCCCTCCAGGCCTGTTGCGCCTTGAAAACAGCAGGCACTATGGAGGCTGGTACTCCAATGCGACAGAAAATCGCATAGGATGTCTCAGGTCTCAGGGCTCCTAAATAATCTTCATGGCGCAGCGCCAGGCGTTGCAGCTGAAACATACTGCTCTTGAGCTCCTTAATCTCCTCCATGAGGTCGGCCCGGGATCGCCGATCTTGGGAGTCGTGGCCCTCCCAAGAGCTCTGCTGCCAGCTGTCACCAAAGGAGCGTTTGGATCTGCCCCATCCAGCCCATGAATCATCCTCCTTTTGCGAGCCCTTTCCCCTATTCTGTCCTTTCTGTCCCGCCCCGATCTTTGCTGCCTTGTGTTCCCGTCCCTCGCCAATTCCGGACTCGGAGGAGGGCGCAGTGCTCGCAGCTTCGATTCCCGCAGGAAAATAAGACTTGAACATATCGTCCTCGAACTTGCTAACCGCATCTTCTTCCATCGCGGAGGGAGCTGACTCAAGCTCAGTCATGGCAGAAAAGAACGAGGTGCAAAGGAGGGGAAAAGAGCTAGCAACAACTCAGCACCGCTTCAGCCAGAGGATATAAACATTCGACTCAATGTCTCTGCTCATAGGTGTTTCTGTGGCATAGACTGAGTCATCTGTGTACATCCACTGGTCTGCTACTCTGAGTAAGGCACGATAGTGTCCACTGTTGGTGTGCCTGCCGATATGTACCACCACCGAGGTGACCTGATATTGATCCCAGGCTACACGAACATGCTGGACAAATCTTGGCATATACACTGGCCTGTCGAATCTGATCGGAGTGGTGAGCTTGTATGTCTGATGCAAGCGCAAGTACCTGTTGAGTTGAATACATACACAACTGCTTTCATGTGCCAGTGCTTGTACATCCCCACAAGTGTTCCAGTGTGTGATAACATCTTGTAAATCTCGCGCCTGTGGAGGTATGGGCATAGGGATCGGTATGTCTCCTTGTGCTCGGAGTTGCAACCCTGCAAGACCAAATTTCCGGGCGTCCCACTGCACTGAGTGTAAGCGCTGAGCTTGCAGAAGCTGCTGCAAGTACTCCGCCGAGTCTTTTTGAGCCTCGTCATACACCCAGTGTGGTACAAGCATTCGAAAACAATTTCCTTGAGTGAGCTTCACCGGTAGGCTCCGTGCCGCCGCATTCCGTAGCATTACAAGAATGCTTTGCAGAGGTGCCATCGATATGCCAGCCTCCTCCAAGCTGTACGTCATAGATAGAAAACAGGCATTGATGTAGCATAAATTATGCGGATTACGAAGTTGAACACAGCATTGCCATGGGCCTGTTGGTGGTGAAGACATAGCTGGTGCAACGGGCTCGACCACGGATGATATAGGACCTGAGGGCGCTGCATGTTTCTGGAAAAAGCATTTGATTGTACCATCCTGCTGACTTCGAGGCACCGGTTGATGGGCAGCCGAGTGAGGTCTTGTAGAGTCCAAAGTGGATGTACCTGTCCCAACGCTTGATAGTGTGGTTGCTATAGTCTTGTTTGAGGCTTTGCCACGAAGTGCGAGAACAATCGGTGCCACATAGGTTTTGTACTGAGGATTCGACTTGTCTTGTTTTGGAGCCGCGGGTTGCACATAGGCATAGCGCTCCTGTGGGAAGTTGATTGAAATAAGATGTCTGACCGCCATAATCTGAAAGAAGCTGGGGCACTGACGAGAATGCGCGCAAATGTTATGAGCCTTACTACCACAAAACTGACAGGGCTTTTGAAAAATAGCTGAGAGGCTTCCTGCAGTCGTTTCTGAGTGTTTGGCCACCAGTTTCCATGCCTCCGGGTGTCCTGTACGCCAGTGTGTTTTGATATGACCAGGGCTTGCCAATCTTTGACCACATAGCATACATCGACTCATGTTGGCTCTGATAACTGCAAAGTGAGTCTGTACTTGATGTGTGGGAACTCGAAGAACATCATGTTCCCGCATGGCAAAAGGCTTGTCCTGCTGCCGCTCTGCGTGCGATTCACAGAGTGTAGGTTCCACGCTGTCCTTGTCAAGGCGCGCTAGTAGCTGGTGAACATCACCCCCACGGGCAATTTCCGCCTTGACTGCAGAGCACATACCTTGCGTCAGGTGTTTGCGCAGCGCCTGCCAATCACCACATCGTTGTCCACAGAATTTGCAAATCGGAACCCCATTTAAACAATGCTTGGATCTGTCAAAGTCGACTCGGGCCTTGAGTTCAATGTCTTGATGTCGCTGATGAACATGCTGTTGAAGGCCCAGTTGAGTGCCGAAGTAGACTCCACACACTGGACACGGAAATTCCTTTTCCACAACCACATTCTTTAACATATGAGAATCTGTGCTAGTACTTGCCAGCCTGCAGATTTGGTGATATGCAGTATGTAGCGACTCAGCCCGTTGTAGCTCATTGCATTGCAAGTGCGAGGATCTGGCAGTATCCATCTTCAAAGCACGAAGTTGAGCCTCCATTCGCTTGCTGAGGTCTGCATAGACATCAATGCCAGCGCGTTGCAGAACCTGTTCATTTGATACTCCTTTCTCATGTACCCTGCAGATTTTGCGCATGTGCCTGGCAATTGCACTGGACAGAACCTTAACAACCTCCAAGCTGCACCCAACACTCACAACTCCATACAGCATTGAGGGCAAAACACATGTCTTGTACAGTCTAAGTCTTCTGCACAAACTGAGTGCCCCATTGGTACGCAGCGGAGCCTTGAGCTGATTGAAGGCAACGTGTGCTTGCTGAACCCGGTGTTGCGCCGCCTGAACTTCAAATTTGCCGTAGCCCAGGCGCATTCCCAGGTATTCAAGCGTGGAGTGCACAGGAATGTATAGAGTGCTGCCTTCATACGGAATCATCAAGCACTGTTGTCCATTCCATTGCTTGGTTATCTGATGCATCTTCTTCAGGTGTAATTTGCCCTTTAAGGCAATGACAATCCTGGATTTTGAGCTGTTCACTGTCATTCCCAGACGAGTTATAATGTGGATGAGTCGTCCCAACTCTCGCCTGGCCTTGTCCAGATCTGCCGGACACCGAAGCTGCCAGAAACCATGCTTATCATCGGCATATATGGAAACATGCTGCTGCGGCCAACCTTGTCCGAGTTCTTGGGTAAGTTGCTTACATAGGCGACACGTCCAGGCTGCATAGATCATGGGGGCTACTCCACATCCCTGCCTTAGTCCCCTGCCCATTCCAACCGTCTGTTGGTGTCCCTTGTGAACAATATGAAGCTTAGTCTCAATGTGAATGCGAACAAGAACGTTGGCCAAGTTTGTCGGCATTCCAGTGTCAGTTAAGGCCAAATACATTTCCTCGTGGGTGAGGGAATCAAAAGCCTTGGAAAGATCTAAGCTGACCATCATGCCTCCAAGCAGCAAAGGCTGCTTTTGTTGCAGGAGCCGCGAGGTGCGGTCATCCAAGCAACCATCCAACATTTTGCGAACCTGTTGGCAGTGTTGACTGGCGCGCAGTAATGGATCCGCAGTGGAGGCTTGAGCACGATATGCATACTGCGGCACGTCCTGCAGCGCTTGTTGCACAAAAGGGTTTGCATGCTTCTTCAGGATACACAGCCATGCTTTGGTGTCCCCTCCCATCAAACCAATGGTACGCAAGTTTGCTGGGTTAGCTGTACTCTTTCCCGGCTTCGGAAGCCAGGCCAACTGAACTTGTGACCAGTCATCCGGAATACAAGGTGTGCTGCTACAGACAGTGTTCACAGCAATCCGCTGAAGAATGGGCGCAACCTCCGCGCTGTGAAGTTTCCAAGTTTGAATGCTAGCTTGACCCTTCGGCACGGCCTTATGACTCTTCAGCTGCTTGAGAGCCCATTCCCACTCAGACGGTATAAACCATTCCAGCGGTAGAGGCTCTTGCTGAGGTAGCTCAAAACATGCACCGGAGAACAAACTGCGAACATATGATGTCAGCTGCTGGCATTCTTGTTCAGGGCTTTGTAATTGTCCATCATTGTCACGGAGACATATTTTCTTGCTCATGGTTTTCGGCGCAATCATGCGAATGTACTTGTAGTAGTCTCGAGATTGATGATGGGCATCCGCTGATTCTGCAAGCTCCAACACATTTAGCAATTGAGCCCTCTTGCGTTGCCTTGCAATACGCTTGATCTCCCTGCGCGCTCTACACTTTAACAGCGCAAGCTGCCAAGCGCCAAAAAGCCTGCTGAGAGGACCCCTGGAAAATCTAGCCCTGGCCCTAGCAAGGTTCCGCCAAATCCCTCGAATTTCAACGTCCACATTCCTAAGAGAAGGCTTAGGAGGCTTACTCGAGGGAACGTTGTGATATTGCAGAAGAGAGGCCTGCAACATGCCAACGGAGGGTTGAGCATCTAGCCGGAGCTTCTGCAGTGACGGGGCGGTCGTGCTTGAAGCTTTTGGCGGGCAGTGCTCAGATTTCCATGGCTGCCACGATTGCCGGATGCTGGCCTGAAGGATCTCATGTCCCGAAGTACGCCATCCTGCCACCGGCGCCTGGATCGTAGTGCAGCCTTTGGAGCCATGGTCGGCATGCTGCTGCCGGATGACCACATAGTCAATTTGGGAGTTGCCAGAGGGGTGCTTGTATGTGTAGGTTTTGCGCCCCCATGTGTTCAAGGCCGTAAGCCGATGCCTTTCTAGCATCTCCATAACTTCTGCTCGTTCCTGACGAAGATCCATTACATTGTTTCCAGAGTGGATTCCAAATCCGGCCACTTTGGTATGAGGCTGCATCACCATATTGAAGTCACCCATCAAAATGATGGAGGTTCGAAACGGGAGTGCAGCAATGGCCTTGTCAAGGTGCTGCCACAGGGTCTTCCTGTGGCCCATAACTGTCTTTTTCTGATCATCATTATGGTAGGAAAGAGAGTGCTGATATAGATTGAAGAGATCAACCTGCTGTTTACCCAAGTGTCCTCTCCAGTGGAGCAATCGGCCAGGCACTATCTCATTCCAGCTGTGATGATCTCCAGCTAGCAAATCCTTACGGATCCCCAAAAGAAGACCGCCCTGTTTGGGCTTAGTGGCAGCACTGTGCAGAATATACCAGTCTCCTGAGGTCCACTCTCCCTGAAGAGACCAATGCGTTTCTTGCAACATGAAAATGCCGACCTCCGGCTTGGCCTTGAGCCAGACCTGCAATTCAAGAAAAAGCTCCATAGACAATCCTGAACAGTTCCAGGTTATGCATGATATTCTGGGTGGCTGCCATTCCTGAGCCTCACGTCGAGGTTCTGTGGGTAGCGTCGGCTGCCAGAATCGTATCCGCCTTCCACGATATATGGCTGATCCTTCGATCGCAGCTCGTCGGAGCGCGCGTTTGTAGGACCTTTTGCACACTCTCGAGGCCTCTTGTCGCTGTTTGGGCACCATTGCCTCATTGTTTGCCCCCGAAGGGGCTTCAGTGGGGTTTGAGGCTCCTCCCACAACCCTCGTGCCTACCAGCGCTTTGGAGCTGCATCCTCGCCATAGTGTTGCTGGTACCCGGACTTGGGACCGGGCTGAGCCAGGCATACGCTTCGTCTCGCTAGCAACATTTGATCTCTCGGTCGCCTGTGCTTGCGAACTGGGGGTTGCTCCGGATGTGAAGGATGTACTGAAAATAGGCAGCTTGGTGCTTGACATGCGCGCGGCTACAAGAAGCCAGCGCCACAGGTGCAGACTTCCCCAGGAAGCCAAGCTGTGTTCTCTTCCGGTTCGAGCCTGGTTTACAGAGCCTTTAGGTTGAAGATGGTATCTCCAGGCTTTCGCATTTCTCCCCCGTAGCCTGAGCCGCTCATGGCACTTTACTACTACTACTACTACTACTACTACTACTACCAACCCCTACACTGCGACTCCTACTCCTGCCCCTCCTCCTGGCCCATCATCGTCGTACCGGCGTTGCCTTTGTCGTCGCGTCGATCACGTACCGTCGTCGCATCGTCGCATTGTCGTTACATCGTCTTTGCATCGTCGATACACGTTGCTCACGCCGTCGTGATGCCATCAGACCGAGGCCGTGGCCATGTTGGCTCATGGTACACACTGGGCGCCACATAGGAACCAGTTAGGAAACCTAGGTGAGGATACCCTACCTCGCCAAACGAGAGAGTTTTCCCACTACTACCGCCGCTATTGGACCTCTCATCATTGAAACAGCAACTAGTCATTCCCAGTACTGGTACCAGTACTAGTGCCTTTACTGTATGACAACGACGATGACGACGAGTGGACCGCCTTGGCGCCAGCTTGGACCTGGATGGTCTCTGCTGCCTCCCCAACCACCTGCGGGCTGCTGTCGCACTTCTGGGCTCTGGTGGCGGAAGCCGGGCACTTTTTGACGTTCTCCCGGCACCTGGGCAACGTCGGCCTCGATGGTCTGAGCAGCCTTCTTCACCTGCTCGATCGGCCCAGTGCTGAAATACTGCTATCACCAAGAATACCAAGAAGAAGTAAAATACTTCATAATTCCAAGCCTGAAAGCCAATAACAGTACAAACGCCTGTGATGCCAAAAGCAGTAACAAGCGTGATGATACTAAGCAGATCATACTAAGAAGAAAAAGACGAGATATAATCTTTAATCTATAATATATAAGAGTGTGTGTATAAATATATATATATATAAACTAAATAGAGGCTCCCCCCCCCCCCAGGAGAGTGGTTTGTGCCTGGCTGGCCACCTCCTCTGTGAGCTCCTCAGCTCCCGGGGCCTGGCGGAGACCAGGCGCCGGGCCGGGCGGAGGCCGGGCCCCGGAGCCCGAAAATAAGAGGAGGAGCAAAGAAGAGGAGCAAGAAAGAGGGGGGGTCGACAGGGTTTTGAGGGCTTATATAAGGGGCTTGGGATAGTTTAGGGCCTTAGGGGTTTGACATGATCGTACATCTTCGCAAGACCTTGACCCTTTCGTGTTCTTTTCAACCCAAGCCACGCCAAAGCGAGAGCGCTGAAGGCCCCAAGTGCTAAAAGCTCCACCGAGCACGCGCCTCGGTCGACGCCTTGGATTCGGATGCCACGACAGGAACTGGGTCCTTCACCGGTGTGGGGGCGGCCACAGCGGCGCCGGTCCTTGGCCAGGCAAGACCATCAAAGCATGCTTTCATGTGGCACAGGGGGCGTCCTCGCCTCCTCGTGAGCGAAATCAACACTGCTACCGTGGTTGTCAGTGCTACTTTGCTGGTTCTCCTATGTTGGTACTTTAATACGATGATAACAGTACTGAGACAAAGACACTGCCGCTACTAGATTGACTTCTCTAAAGTTGGAACGTGTTGCATGTCTAGGTACTTAACTACATGCAAACAACACGCTGTCCCGGTTGCTTAAGACTGCTTCAGCCCAGAATCTTGCTGGTGTTGCAGCCCATTCTGTCAGGAGCGGAAGGCTGACGCGAAAAGTCCGGGTCGGCACAGCAGAACGCAGGACTTAAGCCAAGAAACGGCAAGGTTCAGATATGCTGTATACTATGTTAGATTATGCCATATGGTACTACATTATACCATACTCAATTTTTTGCTGCTCCTGGACTACACCATATAGGGTTGTTGGGCCTGTCGAGGGTTCCGGCGATGCGTGAGGCAGAAAACTGCAAGACTCAGAGCCTCGTCGCGTTTTCGGCACCAGTCATCCTGCAGCGAGAGGCCACAGCTTCCTAGGAGGGAAATACAATGGAATATAATACAGTGGAGTATAGTATAGAGGCTGTAATACAACATAGTAGAGTCATGTATACTAATATAGTATAGTATACTCTAGTATAGTATAGGATTTTACAATACAGATCGCATCTATGGCTAAGTGGAACAGGACTGATGTGGGCTGACAGTCTGGCTGACAGCGAGAAGAGTGGCATCATGTACTATCCTTTATTGGAGCCGTCTCCATCTCTTGGCCGCTCTAGCTGCACGAGACGATGCACGTCTAGTACCGCCAGATGCACACCAGGTGTGTCTCCGAGCAGGCCACGTCGACTGCAGCACACAGCGGCTCGGAACAAAAAAGCGGGTGCCTTCACCAGCATGTCCTGCTCAAACCGTTCAGCCGTAGCTTGCAGATGCCTGAGCACTAACTTGTACTGGTTAAGCAGGAAAACAAGCGGCGGAACACGAATGTAGCTACAAAACAGAAATGATACTCATCGTCGTAGCGCATGCATATTTGATGGGATCATGGAGGCAGCACAAGCTTCGCCCAAGTTCACGACGTCGTTGAAAGCCCAAAGCCGAGACTTTCAATTTATGTCAGCAGAGTGCTTCAGAGCACGACGAATTGACGGTTCAGGGCTTGTGGAGTTTGGAGTTGCGCTCAGAAGGGGGCAGGATGGTCTTGTCGCGCTCTGCGATGTCCTCTTCCTTGCGCGCAACCTGCCAAAACACGAGGCTTAGGATTTAGGGTAGGCTGGAACGCAAGACGCTGTGCTGTCGCATAGATGCGACCCAGCAGAATGACTGGATTACGACATATTACAAAATGCATGGGGCAGCAAAATTCCTTACAGGGCCCGGAGAAACCAACGCAAATTGTAGTGTAAACGTACAGCAGCGGCATAGCATTACGATAGGGCGAATCATAATAGGGCGAATCATAGTATGCATACCATGTCTTCCGTTTTCGACATACTCTCTATATGGACATCGAGAGAAGGAGACAAAAAGAGAGCCAAGGATAGATAATCATGTATACACACAATCGGATGCAACATAAGTGTGTGCGTGTATATATATATATACATACAGAGATATATATATATATACATATACATATATATATATATACACATAAAATAACCAGTATAATGCTCTACTTCTGACTATAGGGGCTAATATTTCTGTTCGATCCGAACCCCGACTAGCAGGCTCTTCTAACTGAAGACTTACGGCTTCGGGCTTGCCATCCTTGATTCGGGTTTAAGTTTTTAGGGCTTAAGGCTTAATATAGGGACCTTAATAATTAGAATAGGGTTGTGGGGGATATTATTCTACAATTGTAATAAGGAGCCTCCAAAATAGCATTGGTAATTATGTAGGCCGCTACACTGGTGTTGAGGGATTAGGTTGCTGTGTTCGCGCTGGGGCTACACGTGAAGGCCTCAAGAGCTCATCACGATACCGAAGAACAAGCGGCTGAATGCGCCCGCACCGTAAGTAAGGGATACGGGAGTCTGTCAGGATCCTAGCCGTAAACCCTAAAAACCGCAATCACAAGACCCCCAAACCATACTGTCGTATAAGTACCCTAAACCCTAAACACCCACGGAAAGTGCATGCATGAAAACACATGGAACAGCCAACCCGCTGCTGCCGACCTTTTGAAGGAAGCACTGACGAGCCAAAGGAAGGCCCCCAAAAACGGCAGTAAAACCTTTTAGAACCAAGAAAGAGAGCCATGTAACCTCCAACAAAACCCATTCAAGCGTTATGAACAAACAGAGACACCCCTCCAAAACCAACCCAAAAGCTCAAGAAAAGGGGCAAAGCAAATGAAAACACCAAAACCCTAAACCCTAGACCCTAGACCCAAAACCCTAAACCCTAGACCCTAAACCCAAAACCCTAAAGAAACAGCAAAAAAACGCAAGGAACCAACCAAGGCCTCGTAGTCTGACACGTCCGTCTCCACATGGCCCACCTGAGCTCCGAAGGGATGTGGTGGGTTTAGGGTTTAAAGCTTAGGGTTTAGGGGTCAGGGTTTAGAGCTTAGGGTTTAGGGTTTAGAGCGTAAGGTTTAGGGTCAAAAGCTTAGGGTTTATGGCTCTGGGTTTCAACTTGTGGAACCCTATGCCCTACACCTTGTAGAACGTGAGGCCTAGAGCAGCAAAAAAGATCTGGGTCAGGGTTGGGGGTTTAGGGTTTGGGGTTTAGGGTTTAGGGTTTAGGGTTTAAGGGTTTGGGTTTAGGGTTTACGGTCCAGAGAAAGAGAGAAACGGAAAAAGATGGAAGTTTCTCCGAGCACGAAACCTGAAAGCCTACGTTTCATGTAGGGCTGCTACTAGCCAGAACTTGGTTTTGGGGCTTATTGTACCCTAAACCCTAAACTTAGTTGCTGAGTTCATAAGCACCGAAAAATGTAGACGTTCAGGTCTAATGAGGGATCATACTATCCCAAAAAGTTTAAAGTGTACTCACTCAGCTACGAAGTAAACCCCATAGTAAGGTCGAACGAACAGGGGACCCTACGACTAACTGCTGTTGATGATATAAATCCTGCATTACCCTATAAGGACCCTAAACTATGGGAATTATGGTAGATTCCGTATTATGGGTAATGCAGGATTTATATCATCAACCGTATTTAGGCCCCTATACTAGGCTGGTGAGTCAACCAGTGGGTAAAGGAGCTACTACTCTGGAACAAATAGATTTTAATAGGAACCCAGACACCGGAAAGGTAAACCAGTATACCACTGAACAACCTAGAAAAGTACCCTAAACCTTAAACCGTAAACCCTAAACCTTAAGCCCTAATCCTAAACTCTTAAACCCTTAAAGCCTGAAGTGGGAGCCCGGCAAACTCGTGGCCCGTGTAGGCATTGCCGAAATAGAGGCCTCTGGCTAGCTTCCACCAGAACAAAGCCTAGCTTAAAGGGCGTAGGGTTTAGGGTACCCTAAACCCTAAACCCTAAACCTAAACCCTAAACCCTAAACCGTTAGGGTCTAGGCTTTAGGGCTCATGTTTTTAGGGGCCTTAAACATCCCCAAGCCCTAAACCCAAAACAGACCCCACACCCGAAACCCTTCGTTAACACTACATGCCCTGACTGACCTAAAGCCTTAGACCGTGAGCCCCAAATGACCTAGAATTTAAGGACTTCTATGCAAGGAAATCATATTAAGGAACCCTAACAACGTATGTTTCTAACCTTGGCTGACTTCTGAACCCCTCCGAAAAGTTAAACTTTTGAGCTTCCTTACTACCGTTCATACACAAATCCAAAAGTTAAAGTCCTAGGAGCCAACCCGAAGAAAGCCAAGGTTTTTTTCGCGGTAGATGTTCACCGCCAAGCGCCCAATCCTTAAGCCTCTAAACCCAAAACCCAAAACCCTAAACCCTAGACCCTAAACCCTAAGCCCTAAACCCAAAACCCTAAGCCTTAAACCCTAAGCCCTAAACCCTGCAGGTTTCCGTGGGAGGGAGTGATGCCGGCCCTGCAGAGCCCCCCTATAGGTCCGAGATCTGTTGCCCAATGCCGTGTGATTTGAACATTTAGGGTTTGGGGTTTAGGGTTTGGGGTTTAGGGTTTGGGGTTTGGGGTTTAGGGTTTGGGGGCAACCCAAAGACATGAGGTGCTGCAAACTGTCTGTGGTTGAGGAACTGGCTTGCTCGCCGCCTCATTGGTCGACGGCGACCTGTTGCGGCGAAAGCCCGGATAGGGCTGTGCTGCTTCTCTTCACCGTAATCCCAAGAAACATGGTCTGGGGGCATCCCGTAGCGGATTCCCTGCAGCTTCGACAGAGCCGCTTCGAAGCAATATGATGCCCGCACACTCCTTCTCCCTAAACCCTAAACCCTAAACCCCGGTCCATAGATGGTGTGCCAACTGTGAACTCCCCAGAGAACCCAATATACCTTAATTAAGGATTATACCTGAAATTATAAGGGCCATAATATGATGATTTAAGGTATATTCCTTAATTAGGGGGTATTGGGTTCTCCCTAAACCCTAAACCCTAAACCGTGGTCAGTAACATCTTCGTAGGCACTCCTGAGCCCTACGGGAGGCCAACGAAACTCTAAGAGCAAAGCTCTAGGGTTTAGGGTTTAGAGTTTGGGGTTTTGGGTTTAGGGTTTAGTGTTTTGGGTTTAGGGTTTAAAGATTTTTTAGGGTGGGGCCGCCAGAATAGTTAGAATTGGGTCCTAAGATATGTTCTACGATACTTATACTAGGGACTATAAGGAGAATACTCTCTAAGTGTTTCTCTACAGTAGCCCCTATAAAAAAAAACCCTGAAAACGGAAGAGAACCCCTAAACACCAAAAAGCCGTGAGCCTGCGAATTCTTCAGACCGTTTTTTCTCTTGCAACCCTGATGGGAGTTTAGAAGTTTAGGGGTTTGGGGGTCTAGCGGTTTAGGGGTTTAGGGGTTTGGGAGTTTGGTGGTCTAAACCCTAAACCCCAAACCCTGAACCCTAAACTCTAAACCATACTAAACCATGAACCCTGAACCCTAAACCCTTAACCCTTGACCCTGAACCATAAGGGTGTACACCCCTTGATTAACCAAGTTCCAAAAGGCACGGCTTTGGCTTTATATAGGGACCATGAAAGTCTGGAATGAGGCGTCCTTGTATTGTTTCTTCTAAAGGAGGTCTTATGATGACCACTGTAAGGGGTGTTATCGTTATGGGGTTTGGCATAGGGGCCGTAAGA